TTGTTTAATAACATTTCCTGAGTGCATGCTATGTGCTGGGCATTCTTCTAAGTACATTACCCATTTCAGCTTATCTCATCTTTGCAACAGCACTGCTATCACTATCAGTTTACAGGTGAGGCAACAGAAGCAAAAAGAGGCTTGTCTACATTAACAAACACAGGAGGTGGGACTCAAAGCTACACAGCCTTGCATCTGGTAAGTATTACTCTTACAAACAATTAAGGAATATGGTGCTCAGAATTAAAATAAACACATATTTTTCTGTTTTGTGCAGGGTTTGTTCTTGTATTGTTTTTGAGATAGAGTTTTTGAGATACAGCTCTAGCTGGTTGAGAACTTAGAGTATAGCTAAGGTTAGCTCTCAAACTTACAGCAATCCTCCTGAATCCGCCTCCTGAGTATTGGTCAGATTTCTCAGGAATATAAGGGGTTTCACCCTGGAAGACCTATCTAGCTATGCAGAATGGTTTCACTGCTTGTCAGCTAAACCCAAGAGGATCAAGAGTAGCTGGACAGGTAAGGGTGGAATGAGCTTCTATCTTATACAAACTCCTGTATTTCCAGATGAGTAATCAGAATTGCTGATGAAGATAACAATGGAGAACATGACATTGGGTTTTATCCTCCATTCTGCTTCCTCTATACATATCCTGCATCCTATGCACTAATCTAATATTGTACGTCTTCCTGGAACAGCTATGATGAAGTAATACCCACAGTATGTCTTAGGACTACTGTCGTCTAACATTGGGTCTAGTAGCTTCCTCCGCAGCTGCTTGAGCTGTCTGAATCCTGCAGTTCACAGATGTCTTATCTCTAGCCCCCTTCTGCACTCTCAAGCTGGGCTGGAAACACCTGGTTGCACAAGTATCTCGGTTATCTATGAGAAATGGCATACTTCAGTTTCAAAGCCTATTTCCAAGCTTTGCTTACTTTCCCTCAGCCTGTTCCTTAAAATTTCAAGTTGAATAATACACCAGTAGACTTGGCTTGGTGATACTGTCTTTTCCCTCGGCTCCTCAGAAAAGCAAGGCTATCTATAAATGTCAAGGCCAGGAAGGCACACAGGAGCCCAGTACTTAGTCTTCCCCAGCCCAGGCAGGTACAGACTTATTTTTAAAAGGACGGTGAAAGCAGAAGGGCAATGCTGACACGGTAGTGTTGTGGACTCAGCAGCTATCCTCCAAGACATGATGCCAGGAACCATCACCTTATTTTACCCTGGCATAAATTAAACAAAATCCATTTCCAGATCCTTCATAAAAGAAGTCAAACGAAAATATTCTGAATAGTACTATATTAGAACCTTCACATTCTAGAAAGAAGCATTCCAAACAAGCTCCCAATTCAAGGGGGAAAGCCCTTAGTCTGGGGTACCCATAGTTTAGGAGCTCTTTATCTAATCTTCATTCTTTGTTCTCTGCCTGCCTTTCTTTCTTACTTCCGTATCCTTTCTCATATTAGCCTCTTGTTATGTTCCAGCTATTTTATTCAATTGTTCATCTATTCCAACTATGTGAGGGCAGGAGTGGAGAGAGAGCACCGTTTATTTTTCTAGACCCCCTACCACCACCACCCACAAATGTAAACCCCACTTACAGCCCCTTCGCCGTTGAAGCCTGCTGCTGCTGTGTGGAATCCAGATCTTCTGTAACCTGGTTTGAGTGAGTTCTCCCATCTCTTGAGCCATCTTAGACGTTGCAGCAATGACAACACTGACGACAAGGTATTGGACCTCACTACCTATGTTCCTAGCTGTCCTTTCTGATGTCGCAGCCACAGCAGTAGGTGGGCAGGGCTGGGCCAGGGAAATCACTGGGTTTCTGAGCCTCTCAAAGACTATCTCTTTTCCTTCTGCTCCTGTATGTACAAGTTGGGACGTGGGTGCTGAAAGCCAGAGGCTAGGCAGAAGTCAGCAAAGGCCTCTGAACTCTAAGAGCTATGTACATAGAAGATAAGTTGGAGCCCAGCAAGGAGGGGAGCCAGCAAGACAGCCCAGGTCTGACCAGTTACTTCCCGCCAATGAAGACAGGACTAGCAGAGTATGCAAATAAAAAACCCAAAGATCATGTGCTTACATCCTGTGTGGTGTGGCATGACAAAGGTGATGGAGATAGGTCTCAGCTTTGAAATAAAAAAGCAGGCCTAATTACAATGTGAAGCTCCAACACAGATAGAGATTCACACCAGAATTACATGAACCCTCAAAACAAAACCACAAACATAATGGCCCTAATTCAAAATGCAATGTTTTGAGCTAGCAATTTAAGATCCAAACTGGAAGTAGACTTTCACTACCTCACTGCTCATCCTACTCAACAAGGCACTGCAAAAATTGTCCTTCCCTGGAGTTTGCTGCGTGCCTCTCCACAAGACCTCTCCCTTTTTAAAATGAGCTGTCCGGGGCTCCTCAAAGAGATTGGCACTATCTGATCAACTTTATACTCTCTCCAGCCAAGGTTAAATAAATCAAGTAAATCTGACACCTTGTGAATAGGAGTGAATGCAGCCATTGTTGGGCAGAGAGCCGACATGTAAGCGCAGTTCACATGGCTGCCAATGGTATGAGATGACCCAGCAATAACGGCATCACAATCTAATCCAAACCCCAGCTAAAGCTCATCATGCCAAGTTGTTGGGATGGGGGCTTAGGAGAGTGGAAACTGCACTGAGCAAAGTATGCATGAGGGGCAAGAGACAATGACCTATATCTAAACAGCACAATTTCACATGCCAGAGCCACCTCATCCAGATGCCTCCCCTTTACTTGTCCCCACTCTTCTTGCCATTCCCTGGTTATTTTGAGACTTTTATCTGTAGAATTCATGCAACTGCACAGCTCGCCTGGAAGATGTCCAAGTGCCCTTTTACTCCATTCTCTGTAACCTTCCCACCCCCAACAAACCTCCAGTGATTGGGTATTAGGAAGCTCAACTTTCTTCCACTGAGCTGGACTATGCAAGGGCAGTCTCTCAGGAAAAGAAATCTCCAGGCCCTGCCCTCAAATGCTCCCAGCTCCACTCTGCCTTTTAAGAAGCTTCCTAAAATATCTTCTCAGAACTTTCTTCTATTCAAGGGTTAGATTCCCTCCAGTTGCTGTGTCTACATCATATAAGACTTTCAATACCAAAGTCTACCTATGACAATGCACCTACTGTGGCAGTGGATCCCAACAGTTAAGAACAATGGAGTAAGAAGCCACACTGCCTGGGTGGAAACTCACTTTGCCCCATTGCTGGATCTAAGAAACTGGGCAGAAGGCTAACTTTTCAGAGACTTAGCTGTTTTTTGCTTTGTTTTGCTCTTTCATTTGGTATATAGGGAAAGAAAGTAGTGCCTTACTAGCCTTCAGGGCTAGTAAAGAGCCAATATACTGATATACATAAAGAAACCTGGGAAATGTTGAATATATATTATTCAACATTGCTGTTCCATTTGTGAAGTAAATGAGTCGGTTCTTTCAAGTAATCTGTAAACTCTATCATAATATTATGACGCAGGATTAACATTTGCACCATGAAGAGTTCCTGAGCCGGGCGGCGGTGGCGCACGCCTTTAATCCCAGCACGCGGGAGGCAGAGGCAGGCGGATCTCTGTGAGTTCGGGGCCAGCCTGGTCTACAAGAGCTAGTTCCAGGACAGGCTCCAAAGCTACAGAGAAACCCTGTCTCGAAAAAAAAAAAAAAAAAAAAAAACTGAAAAAGAGTTCCTGAGAATCAATTAGAGATAAACTCATTTTCGGTTTCTGTTAATTATGTCTGGCATAGAACGTCAAATCCTACATGTTCTCACTTATTTGCAGAACCTAAAAGATGTTGGTAAGAAGCTGAGTATAGACTAGTGGGAAAAGAAGAGGGGAAGAAAGAACAACTGTTGTGGGCTTCGGGTAGAGAGCAGGACTAACTTCTGATGTTCTAAAGCTGTGCATCAGAAGGATAACAATAGTTGAAAGCAAGTAATTATACTTCTAAGTAGCTAGTAGAAAGGAGAAATGATAAATATTTGAGGTTATACCTATCCCAATTAATCATCGCACATTATATGCACGTATTAAAACATATAGTAGCACACAAGTATGTATAATTAGGTGTCAATTTAAAGTTAAAAAATAACTAAGTCTTTCAGATTAGCAGAGAACCCCTAGAGTCTTAGAAACAGACTTTATAAAACACAAGTTTCTTAACTCTAATAAGACACATAACTAGTGGAAGTCTATTTTAAAGATCTTACTAGTCTCTATGGTTTCAAATGTCCACAAAGCATCATTTCATTTATCTTACTTGTTCCTTTCAAACACCCACAGTAAAAACACAGGGAAATGGGTCTGAGGAAGGGACAGCTTGTCCAAGGTAATCTAGCCAATCACATGAACATAACTTTTATGTTTATAAATTTGTCCTTATGACACTGCCAAGAATCAAGAAGATAATTTTAGTAGCAAGAAATCTGAGCTAGGTGGCTAGAAGGCCTCTGACAAGATCTGAAAGGGTAAAAGTCAGGGTCTGGGTTTGATAACCTAATTTAAACCTGTCTATGAAACTTTCCACCATTCTCAGCCCAGAAACAGAATAAAACAAGCCTTCTAGAAATGCCCCAGACTAGCATTCAAACCTCTGCTAAATCTGTCCCAACCTACCTATTCAGTCTGCTATCCCAACAGCATTTTCCTGTCTTTAAGCTTTTGCTTAGCCTGGAGCATCTTCTATTCTCATTGAGCTCTGTCGTGCTCGTCAAGATCTGTTTTAGTGTTTCCCTTCTCTGAAAGTCAGCCTTGGAGCCTTGAGAGAGGCTTTGCCCTTGATTCTCATATTGCATATGTATCTCTATGTGAGCAAGGCTTTCTCTTTTCCTAACTAGACTTTGGGCTCCTTGAAAATGGGGCCTGAATCCCTGTGATCTTCTAACTGTTCATCTCAGGCTCTGGCATGGAGGACAGTTGTGCAGTGACTATGTTTACAGCCTACATCTCTCTGCTGCAGATGAGACACATACGGCGATAAGAAATCCCAGTTCACCACGGTAGGTATAACACCTTTCAGGGAATGTGGGAGGGGGGCGGCAGTGATTTGTCTGAGGTAAAGAGGGACATCTAAGAAAGTTTTAAAACTTTGGGATGGAATAGAATAAATAAAATTATAAAATTCCCTCTAAGAAGGTTTAATGTATTGGTTATAGACAGAGTTTACTCAGCATCAGATTTACACTCAAGGCTAAAGGTTGAACCATAAATTTTAAAGTGGGACTATCTCTAGAGAAGAAAACTATAAAATGTGACTTTTGAAGACGTGTGGAGAGTGCTCCCACCTCCAAGTACAGAGTGTGGAGAGGAATCTCATTTAAAGCATCAGAACAGTTCGCATGGGCAATAAAATGATAAATGGAAAGCCAGGTTGTAGTGGCACATGCCTTTATTCCCAGTACTTGGGAGGCAGAGGCAGGCGAATCTCTGTGAGTTAGAGGCCAGCCTGGTCTACAGAGTGAGTACCAGGACAGGCTCCAAAGCTACACAAAGAAACTCTGTCTCGAAGAACAAAACAACAACAACAACAATAACAATAATAATAATAAATGGGGTCTGGTTTTGTCAAGTGTTGAAATGTGTGGTTGTGAATGCATTTGCTACAGGCTAGAACGCTGACAGATGGTTGAGCACATGCTTATGGGTTAGATTCATGGATGAGCACAGATCAGGACTTCTCTAACAGCAGCCACCCTGGCCCCCCACTATTTGCAGAATCACATCTGGTAAGCAAAGCTCACTGCATTCTAGTCATAGGAGTGGCTCTTCATTGACCATAGTCAGTCAGAAAGGAGCGCACTAGAGGGTTGTGGGTAGTACTACCTGTGGATGCCACATAAAAGCCAAGAGCACTAATCTCAGACACAGCATGAAAGTCCCGAAGTGTCTCTCCAAAGAGTTCTGTATTCTGCCTCCCCAAACACCACCTTTTCTTGATCATCAGGCCAGACCTCTGTGGGAAGTAGGCTAGGGGCTTTAATTTATATTTTAGCAAGGTGCCTATTGACACCCAGAGAAACTAAGGAACTTATCAAAGTTTCATAGCAAATCAACCCCACTTTACACTCGAGAGGACAGGTCAGAGATAAAGTCTCTATTGTACGCTGAATTAAAAAATATACTACATAGTTGGAAGCTAGTCTGGGAGGGTCACACAATCACAGCCAGTCTGGGATAAAGTTTCGGGCCAGCATGGGAAACATAGTTAGACACTGTTTCCAAAAATGAAAGAAAATAAAATGAAAATTGAAATTTCAAAGACAGTAGGGGATTGCCCTTTAGGCTAGTGTCCTACAAAGTCAAGTACAACTGGATTTTAAAATAGTGAGCGATAGATTAGAATTACATTTCATCTTTTCCCAACTCTCCCATACCCTTTAATATAGCTCAGTCAAACTCCTTTGCAAAGAAAACCTTCCCAAGAGCCTGAAGCAAGGATTTTGACCTGTGAAACACCTAGCTACTTTTCCTTTTTTCTCACCTACCTGTTCTCTTAGAGGCTTTTTCTTCCATCGCTAATTATCCAATGGCTCTCCTGCATTTACAGAGCCCCAAAGCAGGTCCAGTGGGTGGCATCAAATAGGAAACCCGGAGATATTCGTTGGTTCCTGGGAAGGCTGAGGAAGCGCCCTTGTTAAGGGGTGTGTGCAGTGTTGAAATATTAGCTGCTGTGGCTGCCAAAGAAGTTCCTGAGCCACCCACAGCCTTTTCTCTTCAGTCCAACCATGTGTTTACCTTGCCACAAAGGTCAGTACTAATATTAACAAGTCACTGGAGAATGGGGAAATTAAATCAGCTATTGAGGTGAGCATGAATTGGATTTCCTTGGGGCTGGGCTTCCTATCTGACTTCAGTGCAGTCTGGGCAAAATCTGTTGCTTGAAAGCAATCTGGCAACACGAAGAAAAATGTTCATTTCCCTTGTCCTAGTTAACCCACTCTTGGGATTCAATCCTTAGCCAGCAACTCCCAAAGCATGGAAAAGCTCAAGGCACAGTCTTTTCTTAATTACAGAGCTATTTTCTGATGGCAATAACTAGTAACCTTTAAGTCCTATGGGGGTGGGAAAGCAGCCCACTGTGGCTCTTTCTGCAGCCACAGAGGATGATGGCTCTAAGGCTCTGAAATTCTGAGGGTATGTGTGCTCAAGCACAAATAACTGCAGCATTTTCAGTGAAAAATATTCGGGTGGGAAGTAATATTTTCCCCTAGAAATTGGGCTATGCCTGTTAATTGTTTCTGTGCACTCAAAAAGAAGCCAAGAACCCATTGCTATTGCCCTGTTTATACCCATCTGCTAAATACCTATTCTCTTACCATATATGCTATGTCAGAGATGGCCACTGCATTCAGGCTGTTGGCAATCTAGCGACTACAGAAATCATTGGGAGTTTGCATTGTGGTAAATACTAGGACAGAATGGACCACAGAGTGTAGGAGTGCCCACAGGAAAATACCTAAATGCAGGGGTGCGTGGACAGAAAATTTTAACTCAAAAAAAAAAAAAATAAACCTCGATCATTTACCTGAGTAAGAAGGGTTTAAATCTTGGCTCTACCACTTCTGTGAGACTGGGACGAATTTACTCAACTTCTACTTAGCTTCGGCGCCTTTTTCTGGTTTATCCTAAGAATGAAAGGACACAATGTAGACGGGAAAACCACAACTGCATACGGAGACAATACTGCTCTGAAGCTTAAATTTTCCAGGCCTCAATTTTGCTCATCTGAGAAATGGAGCCAAATGCAAGTATGTGCTCTGTGTCATCCTTTACATGCTATGAGAACCAAGACAAATAAGGCTATACAGGGAGGGTTTGAGGAAGTCTCCTGCCTCCAGGCTCAATAAAAACAGAGGTCATTCTCCTAAGCCTTACCGTAGTAGCTAGGTTCTTAATTAACTGCTCCATCTTCCAACTGAAAAAGTTCTCTATGCCATGGCCCAAAGGACACCAGGGGCTGAGGCCACTCAGCCACCGCCAGGGGCCGCCCACTTAAATTGGAGTTCTGCCTCGATGGGGGGCAGGGTTTTGGCTGAATTTGAATTCCCAGTGGCCCGCCCTTTGACAAAGTGACAAAATCCCATTTGTAAGTAACCTGACGCATCAAGGGGACTTTTGTGTCGAGAACAGCAGTCAGACTCGGGCGTCCAGGCCAGCATGCGGCCAGAATTTTCTTCTGGAGCCCAACCAGGGACGCGCTTCTCACCAGTCACTCTTCACAGGCTTTGGACTGGGTCTTGTTATGTAGCCCAGGCTGGCCATGAATTCATGACTGCCCGTGCCTCAGATTCCTGAGTACTGGGGTTATAAGCTTCTACGACCAAGCCCGGTTTTCCTACAGCTTCCACCTTAGTTCCGTCTCCCGCCTGTGAGAACTGAACTCGAAGCCCCGCCCTGCGTGCTTCCTGCCGTCGCGGAGGGGGCGGAGGGACCAGATGAGAACGCCTGCGCACACGCGCATGGAAGGAGGAGCTCTAGCTCACTTCCGGGAGGTGGCCATGAATTTCCGTGCCTAAGCTTGCTTCGTGAAACGGGACAGTTTACCAAAATGTTGCGTGTGGTAAGCTGGAACATCAATGGGATCCGGAGTCCCCTGCAAGGGCTGACATGCCAGGGACCCAGCAACTGTCCCACAGCCTTGCGACGCATTTTGGACAAGTTGGATGCCGATGTTGTTTGTCTTCAGGAGACCAAAGTGACCAGTAAGCATTCGAGAATCCAGGATTTTTACCTTTTTTTCTTCTGCTAACTTTCGCTTCCTGCTCCACCTCCTTTCACTTTTCCGTTTATCGATACTTAGAATCCTGCCCTTATACCCACCCGAAAGTACTAATCCCTTTCCCGTTTAAACCCCTACCCCAGCTAGTGCCCTTAATTCCCACTCCTGTGCTGCTCTCCCAGTTGAAACCCTCGTGCACAGATTCCCGCCCATTCTACCGCCCCAACTCCGTGCCTTGAGTTTTCTCCTTCCACGCCCCCGAGGCAGATTCCTTAGTTCTCCATCCCTGCTCCCATCTCAGTCCTCTAATTCCTACCGCCAGCATCCTTCCAGCAGTCCTCCCATCACCTAGACCATAAGACTTAGTTAGCTCTGATTCGCTCTCCTCAGTTTTTCCCATCTAATTTGAATATCATTTCCCTCCCTGAGCTTTCCATGTTTCCAGCTCCTGTCATAAACACTCCCTCCCCCCAGTTATGGCTCTGATGTACGCTAGTAATTAGCCTGTAACTGTTATTCTAGTCTTTCATGGGTCCATGGTGCTAGTTTTACCTCTGACTTTGTATTACATTTTTTTTCCAGGAGATGTACTGACAGAGCCCCTGGCTGTTGTTGAGGGCTATAACTCCTATTTCAGCTTCAGCCGCAGCCGTAGTGGCTATTCTGGTAAATGGGGTCTTCTGGGGGTATTTAACTTAGTGTTGGTGATGGGGGCAAGTAGCAGTGAAGTGTTTGGGTTTTTAACGAGAATGTAATATATTCCAACTTTTCATCTCCAAAGCTAAAGCTGCATAAAATCTGAGGTTACATTAATATTTATGTACCAGATTATCTTTTTGGCCCTCAGAAGTACAGTAAAAATTGGGTGAGCTCTGGAGCTGAACTGCTAGGGTTCAGGCTATGGCTCACTTCCTAGCTGTGTGTTCGCTGGAAAGTTACTTTACCTTTGTATCTCAGGTTTCTTATCTAGAAAATGAGGTTAATGTTTACTTTCTAGGCTCTTACAAGGGTTTAGACATTTATGCATGTGTTAATACTAATAGCCAATATTTTATCAGCATTTGTCATGTATCTGTGTAATATACATTGTTGTTGTTCTTGTAAAGTAAAACATTCTGTGGCTTTTTTGGTTTTGTTTTTGGTTTTTTTTTTTTTTTTTTTTTTTTGGTTTTTTGAGACAGGGTTTCTCTGTAGCTTTGGAGCCTGTCCTGTCTCTGGCTTTGTAGATCAGACTGGCCTTGAACTTACAGAGATCCTCCTGCCTATGCCTCCCAAGTGCTGGGATTAAACGCATGTGCCACCACTGCCTGACCATTCTGTTGCTTTTTTTTTACATGAATCTGAGGCCTCAGGGTATGGGTTAGTTGCTTCAGATTTTACAGAGCCATATAATGGCCCTTGAGTTACATTTAACAGAGATATCAAAAACTATTCCTTGTATGGGTACATTTGGAGTGGAACAGGCTGTACAGTAGTATTTTGGTTGCTGATCCCATTCAGAATACTCTATCTGTCCCCAGGTGTGGCTACGTTTTGTAAGGACAGTGCTACCCCAGTGGCTGCTGAAGAAGGCCTGAGTGGTGTGTTTGCCACCCAGAATGGGGATGTTGGTTGCTATGGAAACTTGGATGAGTTCACCCAAGAGGAACTCCGGGCTCTGGATAGTGAGGGCCGGGCCGTCCTTACCCAGCACAAGATCCGGTAATAGCCTGTATCCTCCTACTACAGACCATCTCTGGTTCTAGTCAGTATCCAGAATATAAGGTCCATCTTTTTTTTTTTTTTTTGGTTTTTCGAGACAGGGTTTCTCTGTAGTTTTTGAGTAAGGTCCATCTTTTAGGTATGCAGTTGCTATAGTTCACAAACTTTCCTTCCTGGACTCTAGTACTGGGTGGGCTAAGTGATCCTGGCAAATCATGCTTCATTTTGAGCCTTGTGTTCCCCTCTCTACAGTGGGAGTGCAGCTAATTACCACAGGCTACTCAAAAGCTGCTTAGCCAGCATAGAACTCATTGCTCCAAATTGGATTTTTTTTGGGGTATCTCATCATCATGAAAGGCAGAATTATCCTCCAGTTTACCTGGACTCTTAAGCCCTCCTTACTTCACCCAGAGCCTATCCCCTAGACCTGCTCGTGCCTGCTTGCTTGTGTCTTCCTAACCCTTTTTCTTCTATCCCATGGACAACCATTAATTGGGAGCTGCATGGTGTAGCTGTGGACAGGGAGTCTTGGATCTGAACTCTTTGTGTGGGGGCTCTTTTCTTCGTAGCACTTTGGAAGGGAAGGAGAAGACCTTGACTCTCATCAATGTGTACTGTCCCCATGCGGATCCTGGGAGGCCTGAGCGGCTGACCTTCAAGATGCGTTTCTATCGCCTACTGCAGATCCGAGCAGAAGCACTCTTGGCAGCTGGCAGGTATTGTAAATCTAGGCAGCTGGGCTTGGTTGAGTTCATCTTGGTGACTTGCCTTGTGTCGTGCTCCATAAAAGGATATAGCATTTTGTCTTTGAGTTCCTTTACCCTCTAATTTTGAACACTGTCGTGCTGACCTGAACAGGCCTTGCTGTCTTAAGAGCTGTGGGAACAGAGTAAAGTGACATGAACACTGTCTTTGTACTCCAAGCTCTTTGCTTACCATAAACCTCAAGGGCAGCTGCGGTCCGTGTTCTCTTTTTCCAAACGCCTACCCTCAGAGAAGAGTTTTGAGGACAAAACGAGGCAAGAGTGGTAAAGTGCCTAGTTCCAAGGATGGACAGGAAAAAAGTGGGAGTAGGAGCCGGGCGGTGGTGGTGCACACCTTTATTCCCAGCACTCAGGAGGCAGAAGCAAGCGGATCTCTCTGAGTTCGAGGCCAGCCTGGTCTACAAGAGCTAGTTCCAGGACAGGAACCAAAAGCTACGGAGAAACCCTGTCTTGAAAAATACAAAAAAAAAAAAAAAAGTGGGAGTAGGTTAAAGTAATCAAGGGGCACTTCCTCCAAGCAGTGGTGTCTGAGCTCAGTTTTGAAGGACGAGAAGGATGGCATTAGATAGAGATCATTGAAGCATTCATATCATATGGAATAATGTCAGCTTTGCTGCTCAGAATTCGGTTCCTCATGCGTGAGAAGTGTCCAGATGGGAGAATGGAAGAGGCGCACTGCTATGAGTATTTCGTAGCAAAAGCTCTAGGAGGAGGTTGCATCTCCAAGCTCTCAGACCTGGGGGTAAAGTACATGGGACTCCTCATTCTTGAATGTCCGGTTGACAACCCCATGTTGTGTTTTTCAGCCATGTGATAATCCTAGGGGACCTGAATACAGCTCATCGGCCCATTGACCACTGTGACGCAGGCAGTCTGGTAAGGCTCCCTCGAAACTCTAGGCCCCTCTCTGGTTCTGTTCCTTCAAGTATCCCATGTAGTACTGGGAGTTTGGCACCAAAGGTGCCTTTATGGAAAAACAGTGCTTGGTTTGAATGTATCCTTTTTTTATTCTGAAATTACATGTAAAATTGTACATATTTATGGAATATGATATAATATTTTGGCATGAATAATGGTCAAATGGGACAAATTGCCTAATCTGTCACCTCAAACATTTGTCATTCTGTATGGGCAAACAATGAAAACTTCTTTGAACTACAAGGTTTGAAATATGAAATAATTTATCGCTAGCTCTTCCTATACTGTGGAACACTGCTAGGTCTTTATCTTCCTATCAAGCTGTTCACATTAAGCAGCTACTCCTTTTCTTCCTACCTCTCCTTGACTCTGGTAACAACTGCTCTACTCTGCTCCATGAAATCAACATTTTAGACTTCCATACATGAGTGACATCACATGACATCTCTCTTTCTGGGCTTCCCTTGTTTTCATGTCTTTCAGTTCCATTCATTTGCTGCAAATGATATATATTCTTTCTGGCAAAATAGTATTGTATTCTGTATGTGTATTCTATTTTCCTTTTGTTCATTAATGAATATGTAGGTTGCTAGTGTATTCTTTCTTCCTTTTCTTATATGAGCCTCTTATTCCCTATAGGCCAATGTTTCCTTAACCCTTAAGTGCATATTAGAGCAAATCTATCAATACCTTAATACTACACCAAAACAATGGAATCAGAATCTCTTAGGTGTAGACCCTCAGTAATGGTTTGTTTGAAAAGTCCTACAACAGACACAAGCTAGAGAAACACTACTTTAGAATTTATATGAAGTCCTCATCTTGACCATTTCATAGAAAACTGCTGTGCTACAAAAGCAAACTGCCTGTTTTTCTCTGCTCTCATCCTATAATAACCAACAGAAGACTCCTGTGAGCTCAAAAGGGGTGGGGATTTCTCCTTGCCTCCAAGCAAGCCGACAGCTTTGCATCTGTGCACATCAGCTAGTTGTCCTTTACTACTGTTTCGTTAACTTGGCCCATTAGCTCTAGCTTCTTATGGGCTAACTCTTATGTGCCCCCAACATGGTCAGACCCCACAGGTTGAGGACTACTCTCCAAAACTGTCACTTCAGACCCAGTCACAGTTGGAACTTCTGAACTATAAATTGAGGTTCCCATGACCTCATCTGTGTGTTAATTTGATAGAGCAAAGCAAGTACTCAGACAGCCACTCTAACTTAAGTCTAATGATTATCCATAAAGAATGTTTGAAATAATATAAATAGACAGATGAAGAAATACATGCAGAGGAAAGTCTGGAAGGGCCATTTGTGCCAGCTTCCATTCCTGTGGAGTTGGGTGAGTCATTCTCCCAACACATGGATGAGTCTTAGTTTGTCTTCTTGCACCTCTACATGTTGAGCTGTCCAGTTCTCTGAACCCTGCTTTTGGGTTTTATGGAAACTTCACTGCCTAAGTATGTGCTGAAAGTGGAATAGGGAAGCCCATCAAGGCCTGTGGCAGCTTTTCATCATTCCTTCCTCAATGGTTCAGGGATGGATCCTCTGGAATGAGGATCTTTTATTTTATTAAAAATAGATTTTTTTACACAATGTATTCTGATTATTGTTTCCCTCCTTCATCTCCCAGCTCTTCTCCTCTTTCCCTATTCATGCAACTGTACACCTTCCTTACACACACACACACACACACAGGGAGAAAGCATAAAAACAAAATTGGAAAGCATAATATGTAAGCAAAAGGCCAGCAAAGAAAAAAAATGCTCAAAGATCTATAAAAGTACCATCATGTTTGGTGTTGGCCACCTACTGCTTGGCATGGAGCCTTCCCTTCAGTGTGGTTAACATATCCAGTGAGATTCTATTGTAGAAAACTGATTTTTCCTTTGTGAGCAGTTGTCTGTTGTAGATTGCTTTGTGGTTAGCGATGATATCCATTTCCTACTTTCAGTGCTGGAACACATGTGGCTTGGACCCTTGCAGGCCCTGTACAAACTGCCCCAGTCTCTGAGTTTGTGTGTGTGTGTGTGTGTGTGTGTGTGTGGCATTGTTTCCTTTCTGTCTCCTATGCCCCCTGGCTCTTTCAATTTTTCCTCTTTGTCCTCTGCATATCTCCCTGAGCTCTGAGGGGAAGGGTTTGATGAAGATATCCTATTTAGGACTGAATGTTCCATGATCTGTCACTCTACACATTGTCCAGTTGTGGGTCTCTGTATTTGCTCCCATTTTCTTCAGGTGGAAGCTCCTCCGATGATAGCTCATCAAGGCACTAATGGGTATACAAGTCATTGTATTGCTATATTCCTTTAGCAGAACAATGGTATTTAGTTTTCCCCCAAGTCCCTGACTATCTAGCCTCAGGTTCTTGGCCACCAGGGTAGTGTCAGACATGGGTAAATCCAATCAGAAAGTGGTTGCTTACTCCCAGGACTTTTGTGCTACTATTACAGAAGAGTATATCGTGCATTCAGGTCACCATTGTTTATCAGTGGGTTTATATCTGAGTTGATAATTACCTTTGTCCTTTGGTAATGTGCAGAGTACTGGCTTTTGTAAGGCACCAGCTTGACTTTTCTGTGTTCAATGAGATATGTTTGTGTTGTCTTGACAATAGGGCTTTATCCTTGATTTGTAAAGAGCAATCAATAACCTTGGAAATAGCCTGAATTGTGTGAGGGTGTCCTTGGGGCTCATTTGGTCAACAATTCAATTATATGTAACCCATTCCTGGTACTGGAGGTTTCAATTCTTAGCAGGAGGTGTCTAGTTGGAGCTTGCTTGTCCATTATTTGGTGATTTCATTTATACTTCTTTCATTTATGAGTATATATTAATAAGCTTATACTGTAGTAGGTTTAATATGACAACTTGGATTGCCTTTAGTCTTAGCTGTCACTCCATGTATTCTTTCTTACCTTCCTCTTTTCTCCCTATCTCTATTTAATCCTCTTGCTTCAGGTCACACCCAACCCCACCTCCCACCCATCTCTCCATAACCATGACTGTATTCTATGTATTCTATTTCCTCTTCCTTAGGAAATACTTCCATCCCTCCTAATCCCTTACTCTATAACTAGCGTGCCCATTGAAAGCTTAAAGACTAACATACACATATAAGTGAATATGTGCTGTATTTGTCTTTTTAGGTCTGGCTTACCTCACTCCAGATGATTTTTCTAGTTTCATCTATATAATTGTGGATTTTATGATTTTATTTTTAAATAGCTGAGTAATACTCCATTGTGTGAATGTATCACATTTTCATTATTTATTTGTCTGTTGATGGACACCTAGGCTCTTTCCAAATTTTGGATGTTATAAATTGAGCAGGAGTGAACATAGCATGGATGAGCAGTGTCTCTTGTAGGAGGAGGGCCCGCTTGTTCATCCCAGCTGCCTGGCTAGCTTAGCCCCGAAATAACCACACAGAAACTGTATTAATTGAATCATTGTTTGGCCCATTAGCTCTAACTTCTTATTGGCTAACTCTTATATTAATTTAACCCATTTCTATTAATTTGTGTATAGCCACATGGCAGTGGCTTACCGGGTAAAATTACCAGCATCTGTTTCTGGCAGCTCCATGGCACTTCTCCAACTCTGCTTTCCTCCCAGAATTTAGTTTTGTCGTCACCGCCTACTTAAGTTCTGCCCTATCAACAGGCCAAGGCAATTTCTTTAATCATTAATGAAAACAACACATAGACAGAAGGACCTCCTACATCAGTCTCTGTAGCAGGGTGTAGAGTACTTTGTGGATATTCCCGAGAGTGCTGTAGCTAGAGCTTGAGGTAGATCTATTCCCAACTTCCTGAGAAATTGCCACACTGATTGGGATAGTGATTGGTCAGGTTTGCACTCCCATCAGCAATAGAGGGATGAGTATTCCCTTTACTTCACATCCTATACAGTGTGAGCTATCTTTTGTTTGATTCACCTTGACTATCCTGACTAGTGTAAGATAAAATCTCAGAATGGTTTTGGCTTGCATTTCCCTGATGACTAAGTATGTTAAAGATTTCTTAAGTGTTTTTCAGCCATTTGTATCTCATCTTTCTATTTAGGTCTGTACCCCATTTTTTAAATGGGTTATATTTTGTCCACTTCTTTAATTCTTTATATGTTAAAGCTATTTGTCCTCTATGATATGTAGTTGGTGAAGATCTTTTCCCATTTTGTAAGCTGCCACTTTGTTAGAATGATGGTATCCATACAGAGGCTTTTCATTCTGATGAGGACTTATTTATTGTTGTTTTTAGTACCTGTATTATCAGTGTTCTGTTCAGAAAGTCTTCTCCTGAGCCATTGAGTTCAAGGCTATTCCCCACTTTCTCTTCTATCGCATTCATGATTTCTGACCTTATATTAAGGTCTTTGATCCATTTGGAATTGAGTTTTATGCTGGTCATTAAGTATGTATTGTATCTATTTGCATTCTTCTACCTGTAACCATCCAGTTTGACCAGCCCTGTTTGTGAAAGATGCTCTTTTTTTCTGGTATGTATATCTGGCTTCTTTATCAAAGATCAGATGCCCATAGGTGTATGACCTTCATTAGGTTCTTCCTTTCTATTCCATTAGTCAACATGGCTGTTTTTATGCCGATGCCATGCTGTTTTTATTACTATAGGTCTGTAGTACAATTTGAGATTGGGAATAAGGCAGTTGTAGCAAGGAGGAGGCAACTCATTGGTTCCTGGCCGCTTAGCCCCGAAATAACCACACAGATACTATATTAATTAAATCACTGCTTTCCCATTAACTCTAGCTTCTTATTGGATAACTCTTACATGTGAATTTAACTCGTTTCTAGTAATCTTTGTATCACCACGTGGCTGTGTCTTACCGGGTAAAGTTTCGTCCAGCTCCAGCAGGGCTACATGGCTTTTCTCTGACACTGCCTTTTTTCTCCCAGCATTTACATTAGTTTTCCCTTCCTAGCTCTGTTCTTTTGCCCCATCACAGGCCAAGATAGTTTCTTTATTCACTAACCAATAAAAGCAACACATAGAAGGACCTCCCACACTATTTCCCCTTTTCTGTTTAAACAAAAAGGAAGGCTTTTAAGTTAATAGGAAGGCTTTTAAGTTAATAGGAAGTGCATTGTAAGCAACTTCCAAAACTCTAGAAATGACAGAGACATCTCGCTACCTGGACACTCACCCAAAGTTTTTCCTTAACATTTCAGGCACCCATCTTTAGCCTATAGGTGCATAGTACCTGGCAGACATTTCCATGAAGCAGGAAATTTCAAAGACAGTTTCGCCTATTTTGGCAGTTTGTCAGTCACTTTCTTCTGTGTCTAGCAGACTCTTTTATGAAGCACAAACCCCAAAAAGATCATCTTACCTTTAGGCAAATTCAGCAGTCATTTTTCTGTGGGTCCTGCATGTCCATTTCATCAAGCAGTCCAGGCAAGAGCAGTTTCTTTTGCCCAAATGGCTAACCAACTCCATAAGAAGCCTCTTAGATGTCCATTTTCCTCTTGAAGTAATTGGTGCTGCCAGGAGCAGGTGTGTCTCATTGTCATGAAAAGTCCTAAATTCTTAAACATTTTAAATGTCATATTCTCTAGTTTTTGAAATATTTGAAGAGTGCCTATCTTACCAAAAACAATCTACAGATTCAATGCACTCCCATCAAAATACCAACAATTAATTTTACAGAAATTATAAGAACAATATTCAGCCCTATAAGGAAATACAAAATACCCAGGATAGCTCAAACAATCCTGAATAACAACAACAACAACAAAATACTGAAGGTATTGCCTGAAGAAGGTTGTTAATATATACTGTTTAATTTTGGTTTTATTATGGAATGTCTCTGCCTGTTGTGAGTACAAGTTTTGCTGAGTATAGTAGTCTGGGCTGGCATCCATGGTCCCTTAAGGTCTGCATAATGCTCGACCAGAACTTTCTGGCTTTCAGAGTTTCCCTGAGATGTCAGGTGTAATTGTAACAGGTCTGCCTTTATATGTTACTTGGTCTTTTTCCCTTACAACTTTCAATATCTTTCTTTGTTCTGTGTGTTTAGTGTTTTGGCTATTCCGTGCCAACTCTTTATTTAGGATAAGGAAATTTTCTTCTATGATTTTATTGAAAATACTTTCTGTTCCTTTGACCTGGATTTCTTCTCCTTTCTTTATTCCTATTATTCTTAGATTTGATCTTTTCTTAGTGTCCCAAATTTCCTGGATGTTTTGTGTCAGGAGTTTTTTAGATTTAACATTTTTTTATTTTTCATTTCCAGTTTTATCTCAGTTTGAGGTTTTTTTTTTTGTGATTCTATTTCTACTTTCAGGTCTTGAAGTATATTTATTATTTGATTCCACTGTGTTTTCACAGACTTCACTAAGGGATTTATGCCTTCTTTAAGGTCCTTGGACATAATTTATAATAGCTATTTTGAAGTCTTTGTTTTGTGTTCCAGGTATATTACATTTCTCAGGGGCTGCTATAGTAAGAATTATTGAATTCTGGTGGAGCCACACTGCGTTTTTAAGTTGGTATCTAGGCATTGGGGATTAGGAAGATTGTAATTATAGGTGCTATTATCTGGTCTTGTCCTTTTTGGGTGAGTGTCCATTCCTTGGTTTCTGTTGCCATCGCTGGATCTTAGGAAAGTGTGATGGCTGTGCATTGCTTGATAGTGTTTGCTCAGGCACTCTGCCACAGTGTGCTGGGCTAGGAGAAAAGACTGAGAGCACCTTCAGGAAAGAACCAAGGGGATACTATTCACACTTAGAGATAGCATTCACAGGGAGTTGGGAGGTGTGGTGGGAAGAGGGGACCTATCAAATAGGTTGCGGTAAGGCAAAGAATGATTTAGAAAGGCAGGCATGAATGGGCTAGGTTGACCCTAGGCCTGAACCAAGAGTTGGAGTCACCAGTGGCTGGAGTTGAGGTAGGAGGAGGAGTACTCTCCACAGGTTGTTTCCGGGCTGAGGCTGAGAATGAAGAGATCGCAATAGAGGAACTATGCTGTGATTCAACTAATTGAATCCCTGCCATGTGTGGCCAGTGCAGTTTCCCAGTAGAAAGTGTTTTTAGGTATTGGGGACTAACATATAGGAAAGGGGTGATGAAAGGGTCTCCAGGAAGGAGGCAAACTGGGTCTGCTGCACGGTTTGGTGGAGTCCCTAGGGAACTGAAACAGAGTGGGAGGATCGGCCCCGGCAAATGTCTGCTACAGGGCAGAGGATGGAACCAGAAGAATTACAGTGGAGAACAGGAAGGAGGGCAAGATGATCCAGCTGCTTTCCAGATCAGTATGGACACTGGGCAACCAAATAGAAAGGGTCTCTAGGTATCAGCAGTTGACACAAAGGAGCAGTAGAGGGTTTGATAGGGTAGGGGTTTAGGGGTTCACGGAAAGTAGGCTTGGTGGTGGAGTCTACGGGGAGTAAAAGTAAGGTGGGAGGACCATCTCCTGTAAGCATTCTGCCCCAGGGCTGTGGGTGAGTCTGAGGAATTGCAATGTAGGACAGGAAGGAGAGTGAAGATGGTCTACCTGCTTCCCGGGCCAGCATGGCACTGGGTTCCCAGGTGGAAAGTCTGGGGTGGGGTCTAATGCCCTAACACAGACAAGGGTCAGACCAAGACTTTTCACTGGCTATCAAAATGTGGGGAAGGGTTAGTTTATACGGTCCTCCCTGGGGAAAAAAAGTGGTAGTTTCTAAGCTTTGCTGTCAGAATTATCATCTAGAAAGTATGGATGAAAACAAAAACTGTATATCAACATCCAAGGTGTGGTCAGTGTTGACATGGTACAGTCATCCCTGGAGGTGCTTCAGAAAGGGGGCATGGGAGGATTACTTGACTGGTGTTGAAGAGAGCCACGGAAACACAGGTGTGGCTCTTAGCAGAACTTGGCGGGGTGGCAGCATGGCAAAGATGATAAACCTGCCAAGTGCGAGCTTCTCTCCAGAGCTGCTCTTCTTGTCCTTTTCTACCCCGTCCCCACAGCCGGCCACGTTATTGCGATTGCATTTTATGTCCTCATTGGCACCATGCTAGTTCCGGTAGCCATCACCTTTTACTTCATGGACAGTGGCAGTCTCGCCCTACTAGAATCTTCAGTCTGGTGTTCCCTCAGGTCATTTAGATATTTTGCGCAAACCCATGACAGAGCTGTTATTTCAGTTTGGCACTTCCTCTTCTGAAATTACTACCACATGGGCTTCACCTCTTGTTTCCAGATCATTTCCCCAGAGTAACAGCCTTTGTTACCAAGATCTACTCTGCCCCAGTGTCAGTTCTGCCACTAAACAGCTGTTCTGTGACTATGTTATTGCACCAAATCAGTGGGTGTGTAAGTGGGCGAACTGGATAAATGCATGGGCAGGTGGATCAGGGATCAGACATGGATGCCTGAATCCCCCAAGCTCCAGAGGGAGGAGGGATGTCAGTGAGGACATTGACACATGAAATAAATCGATTGGCATGGAGTGGGGAATCTTAAAGAAAAAGTAGCATTCTTCCAACTCCCGATTTTAGCTTACTTCTCTCTAGAGGCACCACTTTTATTTATTGTGATGAGGTCTTACAATATACCCAGGGTGGCAGTCCTCCTGCCTCAGCCTCCTAAGTGCTGGAATTCCAGGTGTAACCAACATGCTTGTTGGTTTTGTTTTTCAATCTTTTGTAAAGCATTTCTGGGAATTCCTTTGATTAAGCAAACAACAGACCTTCAGATGGGGCTTTTATGTCAGGGTAAGCATAATGTGGGATAGAGAAAGACAAACAGGAACTTCTCAAAAGATTTATTTTTATTTTAAATTATGTGTCTTATGGGGGTATCTGCACATAAGTATAGGTGTCTACAGAGGCCAAGGGACATTGGATTCCCTGGAGTGATGGGGGCGGGGGGAGAGGATTGAGATTTCTATATGGGTGCTGGTACCAAACTCAAGTCCTCTACAAGAGTAGTACTCAGTTTAACCACGGAGGCTTCTCTCCAACCCCAGGTTTTGATTTCTAACATTCTTTATTTAAAAGCTCATGCTTGTCAGAGATATGGTTCAGCTGTGAAGAGTGCGTGGTCCTCTTGCAGAGGACCTGGATTAGATTCCCAGCACCCACATGGCATCTCACAACTGTCTGTTACACCAGTTCCTGAGAACCTGGCAACCTCTTCTGGCCTCCATGGATACTGCATGCACATGGTACACAGATATACAGGGAGGCAAAACACCCATTCATAAAATGAAACAAAGGAAGCAAAAAAAAAGAAAAGAAAATACACCAAAGCCTAGCTCTGCCTGGTCTGGACTGTATGGCATTGAACCAAAAATCTTTAGGACAACCAAATTTTATTCATAAAATGAAGCAGTTTAGTCTCAATTTCTTCCTATTTTAAGGATCTAGTTTTGGCTTTTAATTCACTTTTCCTTCCCCAGGAGTGCTTTGAAGAGGACCCAGGACGTAAGTGGATGGATGGCTTGCTCAGTAGCCCAGGGATGGAGGCTGGATCCCACATAGGGCTTTTCATGGATAGCTACCGCTGGTTCCATCCAAAACAGGAGAGGGCCTTCACCTGCTGGTCAGTGGTCAGTGGTGCACGCCATCTCAACTATGGCTCTCGACTTGACTATGTATTAGGAGACAGGAGCTTGGTCATAGATATCTTCCAGTCCTCCTTCCTGCTCCCTGATGTGATGGGTTCTGACCACTGCCCTGTGGGAGCTGTCTTGAATGTGTCCTGTGTGCCAGCAAAACAGTGCCCAGCTCTGTGTACCCGCTTCCTCCCTGAGTTTGCAGGTACCCAGCTCAAGATTCTTCGCTTCCTAGTTCCTCTTGAACAAGAACCTTTACGAGTTCAGACAGTCCTGCAGCCCAGCCATCAAATCCAGGTACAGAAACACCCAAGCAAAGCTCGCATGCACTCAACCAGGCCTCGGAAAAGTCAAGGTGTCTCCCAAAGGAACCAGAAAAACCTGATGAGTTACTTCCAGCCTTCCTCTAGCCTTCCCCAGCCTTCTCCTGATGTGGAGCTACCTAGCCTGCCTCTGGTGGGCCCTCTTACAATCCCAAAGACTCCAGAAGAGTTGACAGTGGTGGAAGACAAAGTCAAGGTTTCAGAGGCCAAAAATGAGAAGGAAGTACGGACCTCCTTCTGGAAGTCTATGCTGAGTGGGCCCTCCCCTATGCCCCTTTGTGGAGGCCATAGGGAGCCATGTGTGATGCGTACTGTGAAGAAAGCAGGACCCAACTTGGGCCGCCAGTTCTACATGTGTGCTAGGCCACGAGGTCCTCCCAGTGACCCCTCTGCTCGTTGTAACTTTTTTCTCTGGAGCAGGCCCAGCTGAAACAACTGAGGCCTAGGGATGTCTGGCATGGTTACCCCATGTACAGGGTCTGATGCCAGGTCCTTGTCTCTGAAATTGCCTTCTCCCTGAGGCTTCCTTTCTTTCTCTGCTTCTTCTTCTCTTATTTCCCTCTCTCCCTTCCCTTCTAATGCCTTCTTCCTCTTCTCACATCTCTACAGGGAACTAATTTAAATCCCTTCTGCCCTTGCTGGACACTGTATTCATTCATAAATAAAGTCTTTGTTTTAGTGTACCATGTTGAGTGGATATTTTGATGTAATCTAGAAAGTTGAGTCAGAGAGGCTCTCTCAGTACTAGTAGGCTTTCTGGCCTCCATACTGCCAAAGCAACATGGTAGCCAGAGGAGCCATGCTCCTGAGAGAGGCTGGTGAGCTCTGGGGATTATCTGCAGCTCTAAGGTCGGATCAGTGAGGAAGGTGGGTGTGGTGTGGGTTGTGTATACTTAAACAATAGCTTCCCAAGTAGTGTATTCTTCAGCTGTGACAAATTGTCATTAGAGAGAAAAAAGGGGTGTTTCAGCCCTCAGAGTTACAGGGCCTGAGATACCATAAGTCTCAGGGAAGGTGACCACCTCAACCAGTAGGATTATTAGTTCCCTGCTGGGAACCTTGTGTAAAGACATTGTGTACTATGGCCAAACCTCTTCCTTCACCTTGAGAAAGGCTTGTAAATTCTATAACATAGTATTGGAAGAAAAGAGGATAGTGGATCATGAAAGACATATGTTCCTTGTTCTGAAAGATTTCTTGGTTTGGGAAAGCCATTATTCCCAAAGAAGAACCCGTCTTTAGTTGAGACCCACTCTGCTTCTGACATCAGAGGCTACCTGGGGCTTAGCTTTCCAGGTGAACTAGTGAAGAGGGGAGCCCTGTATTTCTGTTGAAACCATTGAGAAAGCCACTTCAAGTCTGCTAAGGGGTTTGGCTCTTTGTACAGATTCCAGTACAGTTTAGGGGCATTTCTTTCCTCTTCCTAATTGTGGCTTTTCCTGGTCCAATCAACAAGTAATCTTTGCTTTCCTTGTGGAACTGGGGCTTGTCTGAGTGAGTCAGTATAGTATCATTGCCTGTTCTTTGTTGACCAAAGGGCTATGGATGCTTCAGGTTGCTCTTTATTTTCAGAATCAAATCAGCTAGAAACACACAACAAAGCAGAGAGCAGGAAGAAGCCCAGCCCCAAATGGAGTGCAGGTGGCATGGGCATTCAAGGCAGCTGGCTTCTTAGGCATAGGTGGTAACATATTGGGGCCCCATGTTCCCAAAGTAGGATCTCTCCCACTCACTCATAAGCTCAAAGTGTACGGGACGATGACAGAAATTGCATGCAGCCGCAGACACATCCTGGAGGGGCAGCCCCACCTCAGTCCAGACTAGCAGCAACTTCTCTAAAAGGAGATAGAAGAGGGAAAGAATTAGTTATACTTGGTCTACTAAAACCCTAGTTGCTCTGAATGCACCAAGATCTTGACTCCCACAATCTTTGAGGGAACTTAGGTCCAGAAGTGGATTTATTTGTTTGCTTCAGTGTGACCCATTAATACTATCATTTGTCTGTTGATGCTGAGAAATATGCCTATGACAGGATTTAAAACCATGCTGTACTAACCTTTACCACTCCCTTCATGTAAGTCTAGCAGTGGATCTCTACTTAGAACATCCTAACCTGACAAAGGGGACACTAAAAGTAATCCTACTGTGGTATCGGTTTTGTGAAGTAAGGTGGGGGGGGTGCGTTCCTGAGCTGCATAGGGACCCCGAGGAGGGAATGTGACCCAACTGTAGGAAGTACTTAAGTTGTAGCCCTGGCGTCCATTTTAGCCCCCCCCCCTTTTTTGCCCATCCCTTGTGGTACGGTCTGGTCTTCTGTTCTTAAACACCATCTGTGCTGATGGTTCCAACTTTCCTAGAACTCTGCATCGGTTCCCAGACTTGTATATCCAGTAGCATTTCTGCATCTCTACTTGGCTTCCTAGTAGCCATCTAACATCTAACAACATGGGCCCAACTGAACTGTTCATATCTCTGTCCTTCACAAGCCCGTTCTTCTCACTTTTTCTGCCACTTTATACCATCCGTCCACACCCATCTTGTTCCCCAAATAGAAGAGGGCTATTTCTGTCTTTGGGTATTGGCCTTAGCCTGTTCTCTGGGATGTCTGTTAGTTCTTTACCCAGATAATCACAAACAGTACCATGTAGAAACCATTGAATGCCATACTAAGGAGCTTCAGCTTTGTTTTGTAATCCAGGGGTTTCCGCAAATTTGGGGCTAAACATCCTTATTGGTATAAATTGTTTAGCAGGTACCCCCAATCTTTACTTATTTGTATATTATGTATATTTGTTGTGGCCATCTTGCATGTTAAGATATTTTCTCAGCTTATGGATCATCTTCGGCACCTTACCTTAGAGTCACTGATCCAGGGGCTTAGAAAATAGAACACCTGGCAATGGAGTGGTATTGTTGGGTTTTAGAAAAATCCCAAAGAGAAACAAGGAAAGGGGGGGGGGGATATGTTGATATATTTTCAAGAAACAACACCAGAGGAGGCAAACTGGGTTTGAAAGAAGTTAAAGAGAAGATGTGCAGGATTCAGGATGAGTTGACTATGGGATTGAGTAGCTACATCTCTCCTGCAAAAGGGAGCACGTGGAGCCCTAAGCACTGAGAGCTCCAGGACTAATCCCAGAGCTAGAGAAGAGTCTTAGCCATAGAAGCCCAGTAGCTATGACCTAGTGCCTATGTGACCGTGGACCCGTAACTTTTTATACTTCAATTTGTACTTAATACACAATAAAAATTATAAAAGCATCTCTATCTTATGTATTAAGTGGGTTAATACATTTAAAACAGCGCTTGGCACATGGTTAGTAATGGATATTAGGCAGCTTTATTTGATGTTTTTAAATGAACGAATGGATTATCAGCACCTAATCATCTTCTTTAAAACATGCTGACTATGCTCTGGACAGAATGACTTGTCAATACATGCCCTCTGCTTTCATATCTACTTAATTCTTTTATTCTAGAGTCTTGGCGTTATGTTCACATGTAGTTCAAGGTGGACCACAAAGGCTTGCTCACCTATAAATCCTTTCTTGTACTCCATAGCCACTCAGCTCATCATATTAGAATAGCTGTGTCTATCTCCTCTGCCATTGATTGTCTATGGATATTTCATCAAGGAGACTTAGAATGAGCAACTGCTAAGTGCCAGTTCTTTTTTTTTTTTTTTTTTTAATTTTTCGAGACAGGGTTTCTCCGTAGCTTTTGGTTCCTGTCCTGGAACTAGCTCTTGTAGACCAGGCTGGCCTCGAACTCACAGAGATCCGCCTGCCTCTGCCTCCCGAGTGCTGGGATTAAAGGCGTGCGCCACCACCGCCCGGCTCTAAGTGCCAGTTCTTAGGTCAAAAAATAGACCTTAGGGGCTGGAGAGATGGCTCAGTGGTTAAGAGCATTGCCTGCTCTTCCAAAGGTCCTGAGTTCAATTCCCGGCAACCACATGGTGGCTCACAACCATCTGTAAAGAGGTCTGGTACCCTCTTCTGGCCTGCAGACATGCACACAGACAGAATATTGTATACTAAATAAATAAATATTTAAAAAAAATAGACCCTACCAACATACATACAAGTAATATTATATGGAACCAACAGGTTACATTTAGGAATATATAAGTATTTTTGAAGGGAAGTAAGTAGCAGAACTTGGGAGGGTGTGCAGGGAGAAAATAGAAGGGAGAAACGTTGTAATTAAATTACAGTCTCAAAAATACACCCAAAAGAAATACAATAAACATTGGGTGAATACACCAAATTGTCATCTTTCAGGGTAAAACTCAAACTACTCAGCTCAGCGCTACCAGTCTCTAAACCTAGACCTTGTTTATGTTGTCTTTGTAGCTCTAGATTGACCCACCACTATCCTGCTCTCCTCCCTTCCCGCAGTTCCTGTTCTTAGTGGTTGCTTTTGAGACTTGGCCTCCCTAGTCCGCCCACTGGCCTTAAACTAGCTGTGGCCTTGAACACCTGATCACTCTGCTTCTAACTCCAAAGTGCTGTGGTTTGTGCAGGCAAGCTCAGCTGTTACTGCTCTTCACATGTAGTGCCTCCGCCACTTCCTCCTTGCCTTTGTGTTCTTTCCTCCTCTGGGAATACCTCTTATCAACCCTCTTCTCTTGGTCCAAACCCACTCACCTAGTAAGGTTCAGCTTGGAAGTCCCTTCCCCCTAGGAAGGCTATCTTGAATCCTGAAGGTAGTTTAGTATCCTCCTCTGTGCTCCCACAACTTCCCTAGGTACTGTCTTTCTTAATGTTTGATCTCACCTGATAGCGTTGTTTGTATCCACTATTGTTTGTGTTTCTTCTCCCCAACCAGACTAGAACCCAGTGAGTCTATGTGCTGTTTCCCTTTCATTTGTGACCCTGGTGCAGAACCTGGTACACAATGAATGCTTCTAGAAACGTTTTCCAAATCAAGCAGAATCTAGCCTCTCAAGCTTCTTTGAATCCTGAGACTTAAGGGATAGGAAAGTATAGACACCCATGCTGAGAACTTACCCACAAAGTTTTCCATCATCTGCGGGCTGTGGTGGGGGGAGGGTGCCAAGCGCAGCAGCTCCTCGCCCCGGGGCACAGTTGGGTAGTTGATGGCCTGCACATAGATGCTGTGCTTGGAGAGCAGGAGATCACAGATCTTGCTGTTGAGTGCTGCATCGCCCACCTAGGCTCAAAATAAAGGCCTTTCAGTACCTCTCACCCTGAGCCACCACAGCACACTAGCTCTGTGAAGGAGGAGGAGGAACCCAGATCAAGGAACAACCACTGAATTTGGGGTCAAGTTGTTTTTCATAAAGGGCTGAGGCAGTGATGCCTCCGGAATCTCTCTCAAGGGGAGCCCAGAGCCAGCAATGCAATTTGAAGAAGGGATGGAGCTGGTGTCTTGTGTTGATACTATTTGTACAACAAGCACATTGGTGAAATTGGAGTAGTCAGAAAGCCAGGGTACCTCTGAGCTGCTGTTACTAGGTTAATTTAAAAATTGCAGTTAAAGCCGGGTGATGGTGGTGCACGCCTTTAATCCTAGCACTCTGGAGGCAGAGGGAGGCAGATCTCTGTGAGTTTGAGACCAGCCTGGTCTACAAGAGCTAGTTCCAGGACAGGCTCCAAAGCCACAGAGAAACCCTGTCTCAAAAAACCAAAAAAAAAAAAAAATTGCAGTTAAAGGGAGTGAC